ATTTCATAAGCTTAACAACGTTAAAGATAACTTAAGAATGCCGTTTAAATGATTAGGCATATCGACTTCTATTGAAAATAGAAAATAATTATTATAATAAATGAATAAGGTGAATTTAATTCTTAAGATGGGAGATGAATAAGATACCAATCCTATCATTGGTCCATTGCATATTGTATTTAAAATATACACACACATAATGTATAAATTTAAAATATACACAAACGTAATGTATAAATTTAGTAAAGAAAAAAATTCTAATGAAGACCGAGAAATTTGCTTATCTTGTTACTCGATTTTGCTTTCAAAGCAATGTCACTCTTCTTGGAATTAGTTGTATAATATTGAAATAATTCAAAGGACGGTGCAAATAATTACAATTAAATATCATTATTAACGTCAATGAAAAATAATGTAATATATAATAAATTTTCAAGACAAGCTACACTTATTATTTCAAGAAGCGAAATCGATTACAATACGACGAATAAATATAGCTCTCGATATTTTCGTGAGCTATTTGCAAATTTAAAACAAAAATATAGTATGAAGGAAACTGAATCGAAAAGCAATGATACATTTGCGTGCGGGCTGATATTTGTTGAGGATACTTAAAAAATATGTATTAAATTTGAAAAATCGAAGTTTAAACATAGATATTAGGTAATTGACCACTAAAAGATCATCTTTCACTTTATATACGATAAAGTATATAAGATCATATTTGTCTGTATTAATTTGTTATATATGAAAAATGTTTATTCAAATAAGTCCCAAATTTTGTCATTATCATATAAAAAATTTAATTTTCTTCCTTGCAATTCTAAAGTAAAACTAGAAATCGTTGTTCGAAATTTAAGAGCTAAAGATACGTTTGCTACATAAAAGTATATGTAAAATTCAAAGTACAAATAGTTTGTCATGAAAGTATCAGATCTTTAGCTAAAAATTTGGTAAACACCGGTTTAAAGTATTACGTTAAATAAGATCTTAACTACCTCGTGATACGATTTATTTCTGCAATAATGTAAAAATTGTATCTCTAGTTTCAGATAAATAATTTAGAGGGACCTCATTTTATTTGCATTACAAATTATTTTCATATTTTATGCAAATTTTTAAAAATATATAAAATACTTGACATTATCATCTAAAATATCCTTCTAACTACTTAAAGATACAAAGTTTAAAAAATTTCATTAAGCATTTTTTTAAACAAATTTTGAAATTTTTAATATGAATTTTTAATAATTATAATTATGTAATCTTAAATAAGAAGGATGTTTTTATTCAATGATATCAAGTGTACATTTTATATAATCAAAAAAAAATAATTCTTAGTTTATCAATTGTTTTCAACTTTTGAATAATAATCCTCTGACAAAATCTGTCCTAAAACATTGAACATGAAATCTATTATTGGCTCTCACTTGACTTCTAAGCACTGCTTCAATGAATTTACAGCATATGTCCCTAATTAATCTGAATGTCACGATTGCATTCTAATTATGTAATAAATACATAAACTATATTACGCGTATCGCATTTAAATAGACATTTAAATGATTAAGTAAAGCGATCGTGTACGATTATTTCTAAGTATATGATTCTTATAAGAATGGATATTTATATATCAAAAAAGTACAGCCCACATGCGAAAATATCGGGCTATACTCGAAATGCGTTGCCAGAAGCTGCCTTTTTGCTTCGAGGTCGCATAATTTAATATCTATTAGGAAACATTCGTAAATAGTAAATTGACATTTAATATTTCGTATAAACTTATTTTATATTTGTTATTTGAAAAGTGAATTTTTATTATACAAATTATGATAAATTTGTTATTATATAAAGTATGATAAAAACAATTTTATTAGTTTATTATTAATTAAAGTATTAATTTTTACAAAGATTAATTTTATATAAATTTATGTTATGTATATATGTATTTTCTATTTCAAATTTTTACCTATTTTTATAATTTAATTTTTTTTTTTTTTAATACCGACAATGAACGGGGATTTTAACAAGAGATTAAGTAAATTAAAAAATCAAATTTGATTTATATTTTTTCTTAATTAATGACATAATTTGTATAAGATATGATATGGCCTACTCAGTACCTAAAACACAAAAAATTATTTGACCAGAAGCAAAATGATAGAAAATAAAAATTATATGTATCCACAACGCGTTTCAAGAATATGGCTCGATTCTTTTGAGATTCATTTTTCTAAAAGTTATTCTATACAATTTATAATTATTTATTCTATACAATTTGCGATTATACTACGTAAAAACCATTTGCAAGAAGTTTCTGATATCTAATTGTATGACTAATTATAAAACGTAATGAGGAACCCTCTACTTGTCATACCGTTTCCTTTTGTGTAAGTTCCATAATTTTATCAAATTAATTAAATGACAAGTTGATGATGGTTGGTGCAATCTATATGTCTCCTGTGATTTAAGTTCACGAAGAATTTGAGAAACTAGCGTTTTACAAATAATAAAAAGATATTGTAAGTTTGGTGATCAGAGTCAGTTTTTATTTGCGCTAAACCTGTATAATTTCCAGGGCTTGAAATTTGCTTAAGTGCAATCAAAGTGTGTGCAACGAGCGCAGAAACTCAAAAGAAGGCTAAAAACATATGGAATATGCGGTTTTTTAATCAATATTAGGAAAAAAACACGGAGCTTTGTATGTAAAACATTTTCACGAATAAAATTTCTGTAAATTACGGTTGATCTGTTCTGCTCGAACAACCACCACAGAAAATTAACTGAAAGATTGTTATTAGATTCTATTAAAATATTCTATAACAAATTCTAAATAATAAATTTAAAATTTTATAATATTTAAAAAATATTTTAAAAAATTTTGTAATATATTTGAATATCTCAAGTTATAAAATTAAAAAAATATTACAATATTAAAGTATTGTTAAAACAAAATATACTTTAAATCAAGTAAAAAAGAAAATACAATTGCATAAAAAAATAATATTAATGATATTCTAATAGACATTTAATCATCATAACGTTGTTTTTTAACGTTATATCATTCTTTGATGATTGTTCTCATTATCGCATGGGTCATAAACATGAAATATTATAAACAGCAGTTTCGTGACCCATCAAATGGACGCATCCATATTTCCGTGAATCATGTTCGCCGCCTCGCACATCGTTGCTTCTCTAATATTCTATTATAATATATATAAATTGGAAGCTCTCTAACGCGTCTCTTATAAAGAAGATTAAGAAGAAGGCATGATTGTTCTTCAAAGTTATATATAAGCTTTGTTGTATCGAAGGTAGGCGGTTCATTCAGAAACCTACTAAAAAAGATCCGACACGATACGGAAGGAACAGAGATTTCGCGGATATCCACATGTTCGAAGATATCGGGAATAAAGAGCCAAGAGCAGAACGAATCGCTTTAGTTGTAATGCGGATCACGGAGCATTATTTATTAATAGCAAAGCTGATGTAGCCGGCGCAAGGGAGTGGCAGTGCCATGCTAAAGCAAGCGCGACAGCACCAGATCGTGGAACGGATCTTCGGATCTTTTCTCCCTTCCTCTTTTCCTTCCTCTCCATCCTCCCTCTCCGTTTCTCTAGCTCTTTCTGTTTCTCCAACGAACCATCTCTGTTTCCTATCTCTTTCTTTCTCTTTCATTCGTATTTACACTTTCTCGTTCCCTATCTTTTCTCTTTGCTCGTCTCTTGGTCCCTCTTTTTCCATTCGTTTCTCCGTCTGATCGAAGAGCTCTCTTTCTCTCAGTCTCTCCATGTGTTCTTCGGTCTCTCTATGTTTTTCTCCTTCCCCCATCGCGCCGCAGCGTACCATTCGTCCGGCGTTGCTCAAGCTTTCTCTTTCCGCTTCTCTTCCTTCTTGCTCTGTATTATGCTACCTTACTGGTTGGTTCACTTTATCTATTATCTCTCTCGCATGCTTTGCCTGGTGAGCATTGTCGCGCTCCTACTCGCGAGACAGCACGCCGTTGTAGGAGAGTGGATGAACGCTTTGTCGGCGCCCGCGGCTGAGATCAAAGGCGCCGACCGCTTCCTCCTTCCCCCCACCCCCGCTCCGGCTCGACTGGCCCGTAATCCAACCGAGGCTCTCTCTTTCCTCTCTCTCTCCCCCTCACGTCGCCGCCACCGCCGCTACCCAACCCCTCTATCCCACGACCCTCCCCTTCCGACGAATCCATCCAGCAAAGGTACCCATAAACGCTCAGTCCCGGGCTGTTCTGGCCTGATGAGAGAAAAATCTCTGACGGGTAGCAACCACACACGTTCAGTCCGGGTTTGTCGGTCGCTGATTACACACCCACGGAAAAATAGAACGGGAAACCAGCGATAACGATAATTCCGCTTGAATGAACCCTTTGCTAAGCTAGACACGCGCATAGGGAACGCGTTGGCGCATCTTATGTAGGGATGAGCTAATTTTTATGAGATTCTTCGAATATGGCTTGTTCGTAAATCTTAGATGTCTGGACCGGGTACGTTAAATTAATATGACCTAAAATGAGATAAAGTTATCATAAAATAATATACGAATTGAATATTAGATAGCAATCAAAAAAATTCTTACCTCAATATTTATGTTTAAAGATTCATTGTTTTTATTTTAAAGTTTAAATTTGCAGATTATTTATTTAAGAAATTAAAAACTAGTCATCTTTATCTCATACTAGATATTCGATTTCTAATGTATAAATAATTATTTTTAATTAGATTTATAGTTGTATATTAATTCCTAACTATATTAAATTGCAATTAATAAAATTAATAAAATCAGTTAATTATTTATTAATTATTTAATAGTTTTGAAATATATTTATTATTCAACAAATTCCATACCTAACTTTTAAGAATCAGCTTTTAAAAATTCCAACTTTTGAATTTTCTTTAAATTAGACATCTGTCAGATACGAGGAACGTATAACGAAACCGACGTCAGAGTTGTCTGTTTCTCGGCACCGGCGTTGCTGTTCGCTTGCTTACCGCCGTGGCTGCTGCTGTTACTTCTGATGCTTGCGGCAAAATTGTATTATAGCCTTTCCTGTCGTATTCTGTCGTACGACGTCCTCCTTTGCCGACCTCCGTATACCTTCCACGATACCTTGTGATAAATACTCGCGCCGCTCTTTTTACACGTTACTGCCTAATTAGCGTAATTATAAGATCCGGTCGTGGACCTTCTTTCCTCTTTTATTTCTTCCTTTCTCTTCTTCATCCTCTCCTTCCTGTTTTTCTTTGGATGGTCCATTTGAAAAAAAAAGAAAAGGATTGAACATTTCCGAAACACATTCCGAGAATTTTAAAGTTTAAATTTTGTAGAATTATTATTATTTTACAGAATATTTTGTTTTTAATAATTTATAGAAGAATAATATTTTAGTTTTGTTTTTATAATTTAAAATTTTTTATAATTGATAATATATTACAATATTAAGTAATATGAAACTTCAATTTTGTATTTAAACAAATCAAAATTTGTTAATAATAATAATTTAATATATAATTTAATATATAATAAAAATTAATAATGAAACAAATAATTTCTTTTAAATCTCAATGTTTAATTATTGCATCGTGTAACAGAAAAATTCCCGTGCATATTTCAGTGTCGTCTAACATTTTAATTCACGCCCACTTCCCCTTACACGTAGAGTGTTAACTGATGCAATGATAATGACTTTGCCGTGATGCATTTTATATTTTTATAACGTCAGAAAAGTCAAATTAACAATCGAATGTCACTTTAGAATAATTAGAAAAAATATAAATCGAGAGTAATAAATATATATATTTGTATTGTTAATTACTGCATTGATAAAAGTAGTAAATACTGTGAGAAACATCGCAATCATTAAAAGATAGATTATTATCTTTGACATTTAAAAGACAAAGTAATACCCGAGTTGAACTTTTTGATAACGAAAATTAAGATAAAATGATTTACTTAGTAGCAAGGAAAAACTAAGATGAATAATATATATATTTATATTGCTCATTTTAGGTTAATTTAAATAAAATTCACTCAAAATAATCAAAGAATTATCTAAAAATATTAAAAATGAAGTTCGTACAAATTTTAAAGAGATAAAAATTTTCTAACCTAAATATATATAATAAATAAATAAGTACCTAGTATAGTATTCAAAGTTTCTTCTTAGAAATGATTTCTTTATTATATATTTCGTATTCTATGAGAATATATTTGAAATATATTCTACTTACTTCTCTTCAATTTATACTATTCTTTTAATATTAATATATAAAAAATTTCTAAAGTACTATACATAGCAGAGTTTACGTTCTTAGATCGAATAGCAGATCGATGACCGTATCGAAGAATGTATGACGCTTCCTATTCACCACCGCGAGAGGGCAATTTTCTTTAATAGTGCAACAGCCTTTTACCGGCGTGCCATATACACGCTATTCGCACGTAACATTACATAATAACGCAAACGAAACGGACGCCAAGCCGGACAACGCTTTCAAATGGGCGATACCATGCAAAAGCCGGCGTGTCGTATTCGCAAAGAGCAATCGTACCTCTCTCCAGACGACAGGAAGACAGTTCACTGAAAACAGTTTATTATTAATAGATATGCTTTAGTTTCCTGAGCGAGTTGTCGGCTTTATTTCGAGGTTAGTCTGTACTGAATTTTTGAACCGTACGTTTTATTCTCCTTGCTGCGTGGCCCTTCCTCCCTCCCTGTACCCCTCTCTGTAGCCCCAGCCCGACCATTCCTTCCTCAGCCCCTGC